TTTTGTAAAATAAAGAAAACAAATAGGATGTCGCTTTCTGCCATTTGAGTTTCCTTTCTGTGAACAAATTAAGCATGTCACAAAAATTAACTGAAACTCAGCGTATATAGACTACGTTACGTGTCGCACTGTTTTTTTCTCGTTTATCTGTAAACTAAATCAAATTGAGGTCATGTACATATATTGCGCGATAAGTCGATATATTGATTATTGCGACAGGCCTACTTGTATGCATGTATATATGTACTGCAGATTTTATATATATATATATATATGTATATGTATAACATAATGTAATAATATTTCATATTTTCACATCTAGGTGGAAAAAATTTTTAATTTGTACTACTGTCTGTTCAAAATAAATGAAAAGAAACTGAGCATAGTAGATTTGTTGTTTTTTTTCCCCTGTTGTACCGAAACCGTATCGAACCGTGACCCCCGAACCGAGATACGTACCGAACCGTGATATCTGTGTACCGTTCCACCCCTAGTAAAAAGCATTCTGGAAAATGTCACATCATGTGCGTATTCTTCTGCCATAGTCCATAAAATGAAAGCTAATTTATTTATAGTTTTTCATTGACATAAAGGTGGTCAGATCTTTTACTGACTGTACACTATTCTACTTATTACATGGCTACTTTTGAAATTGAGTTATTGTATTTTTTTTAAATGTTACAATGAAGAAAGAAACTCATACAGGTTCATGTGGTTTAGCCCCTCCCCCCCACACACACACACATCTGAATTTCGTGTGGTGCATTCGCACGGGATAAGCGAAGCCTGTGATTTTATTCGAATTTACTGACTTATCTCCCGGATACAATGTCAAGGCTTTGAGAGTCCCATTCTATGGTCTGGTTAGATGGATTTAAAAAAAAGAAACTAATGTAGTTTCGTGCCCTGTGTCATTTACATTTCACCAGGTTAAAATAATATCTCAAGCTTTATGCTTGATTTATTTGTAACACATTAACCTCAAAATCTTTTCAGCTTTCTCCTTCTGCAAATTGTATGGTGTAGTGATATAACAGCACCCAAAATACTATCAAACACTCCAACGCAGCTCCATTCTTTGCGAAAGATGGATAAAAAGGCGCACAGGAAACAAAACCCTCGAAAAATAATATACGACCCGCCAAATGCTGGCCAAATCACAGAGATGCCGATTCGCACGGGACTAATATTATCACAGGACCTCGGTGTTCGGTGAAATATGGTAGGTCATTTGCGGGTTAATTTTTACTTTACAAATTACAGACATGGCCGATTCGCACGGGATTAAGATCACAGACAACCTCCGTAATTATTACAAATGACTGGAGGTCACCAGGTAATACTAATCCCGTGCGAATAGGGCTATATACACACACATAAGCTGTTCGGAACCTGTATGAGTTTCTTTCTTCTCTATAACATAAAAAAAAACACACACACACATTTTGAGTAATGTTAGTAACCAAACCGTTAATAGGCCCCATTGACTTCCACAGTATGGAAAAAAAATACTATGGAAGTCATAGAGACATAGAGTTTTATAATGGGGTTTTTCAATTCATGAGTAAGCCTGTGGTAAACACGATACTTTGACGTTTTGTTCTCCAATGTAAATTACACGCATCCATCCAAAACACAAATTTTGTATTAAGTAACTAGATAAGAATGTTGGCAGTGTAAGTGTGTGCAATTTATATTGTGATTGGCCTTGCAGCCAAACAAAACATGCAAAAAATTTGAGTATTAATTTACATGTTCTTGATCTGCAATCCATGTATTTGTTACCTCAATTTAAATTCAATATTGAATGGTGTACAAACCAGCTGTACACTTGTGTGTATATTTCCAGAACTGCATATGATCTCACCCCATTCGTAACCTGTTTATTGATAGATTGAAAAGATTATTTCAGATAAGGTTGTGACCGCAGTCGAGCAGTCTGACTACAAGATGAAGAATCTGATGGAGAGAATCGGTGAGGTGAATGGTGAACCCAGATACGATGCTAGAATCAAGAATCTTGAAGTAAGTGACCAACTTTCCCATTTCTGTGGACTTTAGTATACTAACATAAATAAATATATATTTATATACTAATCCATATTACTGTAGTGCCCTGCAGGGCCAGTATATTATAACCACCATACACATTTTCTATGTTAAATCCGTTTTTTTTTTTTTTTTGCAGGCTCATGTAAGGAAAATAAAACGAAGGGGAGATGCAGTATTTGCATATATCAGAAAGTTCAGATCTTTAGGGATTTCTCAGAGTCAGGTATGAGCTAGATGATGAGATTTTTTTTTCTAGAACCAAGGTTTGACACTGATAATACTAAGACATTTATAAAGCTGACTTCTATTGTTGTAATTATGCGTAACTCCTCACTGTTGTGTTTTTCGATCTTCTTAAGTCTCCTCCTCCTGTGCAGCCCCAGCGATGCATCTCTCCAGCGGAAAAAAACGATATATCCAGGTATTCTAAAGTAGGCCTATTTTAGACCTATAACAAACTTCATTCATAATACATCATTGGCACCAATAAAGTAAAATATTGCCTTTGAAGGGGCTTTCGGTGTTAATTTAGCTGTGGATCTGTATACGCTTTAATGCTGCAGACTGATGACTGATGGAACTTGAAAATGATGCAGAAGCAGTGAGCCTGCTGTTTGAATGACAATCACTAAAATATTCCATTTACTGTTTAATCAGAAGATATTCTAATAGAATGATCAAAGTTAAATCATCGCAGCAGTCCCCTGTGGTCCTTTTTCTTTTCGGTGGGTTGTTTTTAATTCAGTAATGATTCAAGGCTGCAGTCTTGGCACCTTTCCATTTCTTTTCTTTCCCTGAGGTGCTGTTTGCCGAGTGGCATTTCTTCACTTTCATGTGTGGCTGTTGTAGCCTTATAAACTAGTGTGCTTCACTGAAGAGGCGTTCATTGCTGCTTAAAGGGGTCATATGATGCTTTTTTAAAGATCATTATTTGGTGTATTTGGTGTAACAGAATATGTTGACATGCTTTAATGTTCAAAAAACACATTGTTTTTCAAATACTGTACATTATTGTAGGTCCTCTATGCCCCGCCTCTCTCAAACGCTTCGTTTTCTACAAAGTCCCTCCTTCCGACAAGCGCAGTCTGCTCTGATTGGCCAGCTGACCCAGTGCATTGTGATTGGCCGAACACCGCAAGCACTCGTC